CTCTCACTGGGAGGTGGTGACAAAAGAAAAATGATGAGATCTCTTAAACTAAATTGCAGCAGGCAAGACAATGGGGGAGACAGAAATAAAGGAGCTTAATCAGTAACAGCCACTGGCTAACACCAGCAAGACCGCTCACATTCCTAGACGTACGTTGAAACTTTTTTAAAAAAGTATTTTACTAATTTATTTTTAGAGGGAGAGGGAGGGAGGGAAAAGGAGAGAGAGAGCAACATCCACTGGTTGCCTCTTGCATGCACCCTAACTGGGGACCGGCCCACACCCCAGGCATGTGCCCTGAGCAGGAATCGAACCAGCAACTTTCCACTTTGCAGGGTAACAGCCAGCTGAGCCATGCCTGGCAGAGCTGTGTGTCAAAACCTTGAATCAGCCATCAGGTGGCTCTTTCTGCTCTTATCTGGAACAGAGAGCAACCACCGCATCCTGCTTATGCCCGAACTTTCTGGGCTATTGCCCACAACCAATCCAGAAGCATCAAACACTTCTTCCTTATAGACTGTCCACTTATCCCAGAACTGTCCCCCCGTCACCTCTCCACCCCACTATCTACAACTGATGTAAAGTCTTTCAAAACAACCTGGGTCCTTCGCCTGCCCATTCATTGTGTACAGGAACCCTTTACATGTCCATTGTACAAAGGAATCCCAGGGCCGCGGCCTGGCCGTCTTCCCCGCCTGGCCCTGCTGCTGGGGGTTCAGACTGCATGTCCTAGGACCTGGACATTTCTCTGGCTAGCATGTGGGTCAATAAGCCCTTTCTTTCAGAAGAACTTTCGGCCCTGCCCTAGCCAGGTGATTGGAGCGTCTTCCTGTGCACCAAAATGCTGCGGGTTCAATCCCTGGTCGGGACACATGCAGGAGGCAACCCATCGATGTTTCTCTCTCTTCTTCTCCCTTCTTCTCTCTCTAAAATTAAAAAAAAAAAACAACAACACACAGCGTATCCTTGGGTGAGAATTTAAAAAGGAAAAAGAAGAAAGCTTTCACCCTCAAAGGTTTTTGGTTAACAGGGGGCATTTTCTGATGAGAGACATGCTCTAGGGGTGAAGATCACGGAATCCACCTGGGTGCCAGCCTCCACTCACTCAGCCAGCTAGGGCAGGTGGCCTCAAGCAGGGCACTCGGGCAAGTGCCCTCAGCTTTCTCCCCTGCAAATTGTGATAACAACAGCACTTCCTTCCTGGAAGTTGTTATGGATCTTAAATGGGTTAAGTAAGACATGTAAAGCCCTTAGAAGAGGACCAGGCATATAATAATTGTCACAAGCAGCCACTATTATCTTCAATATTGTTCGGCACCAAACCCTACTCCCACTCAAAGCAGCCACAGCACCAGAGCTGGAATCTCGGCTTCCCAGACCCGAGTTTGTCAGGAGGCGGCTTCATCCAGGGCTTAGTGCAGGGTGCCCAGCTGGGTGCCAGTACCTAATGGACCTCAGTAGGGGTTCATTCTGGCCCCCACCGTAGTTAACCCCCACCTGTGCCCAATAATGTTTGAAAAGTGTTTTCTTGAGCTCCTGGAGCCCCAGTCCCGTGTGAGAGTGAGTAGGTAAATATTTGTGAACGTAGTAATGAGTGCTGGTACAGAGATCTGCCCTGAGATCAGCCTCGCTCCCCAAACTGTGACCCTCAGCTTCCCCCGTGAGAGCCTCTGGGCTGAAGTCCACTCCCTCCCACCAAACACAGACCCCTATGAAAGGTGTCCACACTCAGGTTGGGGCGGCGGAGAAGTCCAGGTGAGAGACTGCTTTGGCCCCTGGAAAACAGACTCCGTGGGGAAGGAATAGCAAGGGTCCCACCAGCCCCGGTAAAGGCTGGCAGGGGCCATGTCAGCTCACAGAGTGACTTGAGGGCCGGTACAAACCCCCTCCGAGGCCTTCTCAATACAACGGAGGACACCTGCAAGCAGCTCTGCTGTGTCGGCAGATATTTGAGGAACACAAACATTTTAGAAATTAAGCAACAATTTATTGAGCTCTCCGTAGAGGGAGAGGGGCCGGCTGCAAGCCGCGGTGCGGAAGGCAGGTGGCACCAAAGGCCGGTTCATCGATGCTGTCCGCTCGGCTGTCGACACCGTCTGGGAGCTCCCTCCAGAGAATCCGCAAGAAAGATGCACAGAGGCCGTGGGTGGGGAAGGAGAGGGGGCGCCCGGGCTGGGTTCAGGGGCATCTTGTTCCGGGACGCGGGGTCGGACCCACTAGTGGTCGCACCCACTAGTCTGAGTGTACGCAGAAGGTGCCGAGAGACTTCAACAGCGCCGCGCTCGGAGCGGGAGGAGCTTGAGCCCCGAGAAGGTGGGGCCTAAAGGTACGCGGGGCCACACGGAAGCAGGAGGAGGAGCCTGGGAGGGGAGGTAGGGTCATGATCTCTGTGTGGGCGGGACTTGTGCACGACGCCCCTAAGGAGCGGCGCTCTGAGTGGGCGGGACTTAAGTGACCGTCAGGCTCTTGTTTCGGTATATATATTTTAATTATGTATTTATTTTTAGAGAGAGGGTAAGGGAGTGAGAGAGGGAGGGAGAGAAACATCTCATCCGTTGCCTCTCACACGCCCCCAATCCGGAGATGGCCGCAACTCACGGATGTGCCCTGACCGGGAGTCCAATCCGCGACCTTTCAGTTCGCGGGCCGGTGCTGAATCCACCGAGCCACACGAGCCAGGGTTTGTTTCGGGGCCTTCTTACTGGGCGGCCCCAGGGACTCCGCGTAGGTGGGCCGTTACCTCAGTGCGAAGGGAAAGTGTTAGCCGCACGTGGGCAGAGTTCTTTCCAGGAGAGGCGGACCTGGAGCTCTGCCCCGAAGACTCGTGACGCCTCGGTGAGGGGGCGGGGCTTATAGTTGGGGGCGGGGCCTACAGAGGCGCTGGAGGGGAACGCGTGAACTCCTGGAGGGCGGAGCTTGCATCTCTGAGACTGAGTTAATATCGCTCGCGGACCAAGTCCCCGGCTCTGGGAAGAGGCGGAGCTTTAGTTCTGTCATGCGGGGCTGCGTGAGGAGAATATATTAAACTCTGGGCAGAGTTCATACCTCCTGGACGCGAGAATTAATGGCTCCGATAGTGTGTGAGCAAACCGCGCTGAGGAGGCGGAGCTTATAGCCGGGTGGGTGGGGGCCATTGGTACTGGGACGGGCTGGGCGGAGCTAAGGGGGAGGCGGGGCAATAGTTCTGTGAACCTTTGAGCTGGCAGGGGGCGAGGCTTGTGGCTTTGATGGGCGGGGCCTCTGGAGAGCTCCTGAGGGATCCCTCGACAGCAGCGAGTAGGCGTGGTTCATAGCTCCCAGGGACCCGGTTTATAACACGGGTCAGGGTGTAGGCTGGGGTCGCGCCTCGATGAGGCGGGGCCTGAGAGCCAGTGGGCGGAGCCTGATACACAGCTCTGGGTCGGGGCGGAGTCCCTGCTCGGTCCAGGCGGAGTCTCTGCCTTGGGAGGCCTTGTGTTTAGGCCCGCACGCAGCTCCTCATCTGGTGCTCATTACAGGATGACAAAGAGCCGGCTCTGGGCCCCCTTCCCCACTCCCATCTCCTCCCTCCGGCAGCAGTGCATTTAACTCTTTCCTGTCCTCAAGGTGCTTTGGATCCCCGGCGCAGGGTCTCAAGGCGGAGCTCCAGCCCTTCCCGTCTCGTCGGGCTTTGTCACCCCCCCCAGGCTGTACCCCACCTTCTTCCCAGACCCAGGCCTTTGGGCCACCCCGCCAACCCCTCTCATGCAGCAAACCTCTTTGGCGGCGTCTCCGAGGTTAAAAACTTGGGCAGAATCTGGTGGGGCGTCTGGTTTGAGTTAGGGAAACGTGAGGGAGGCGGGGGTGGTGAGTATCTTTCCCGCACCCCCCCCCCGCCGCGCCCCCTACCCCGCGCCCCGCCCTCAGGTTGGTCCCCAGCCCGGGCATCTAGTCTCCTAGTGCCTTGGGGCTCAGCCCAGCCCATGCTCAGTCCCTGGGGCCAGACGGTGGCATAGCGCACCTGGTAGGGAAAAGGACTCTGGGACACCCCTCTTCGCCTGCCCGGGTGGTCGTGGTGGTTCTGCTCTGTCTTAATTAGAGGCTGCTTAGAGAGGCTGCTTAGAGGCTGCAACTGAAAAATTACAGAGGCAGTGGGACCCCGCGCCTCCACGGCCCAGGTTCCGTCTCTCCCTGTGCCCAAGGCAGTGAGCCCAAGCTGCTGGAGCTCGCAGGGTTTTCCCAGGCTCTGATGTTTGACCTTTCCCTCCTCTGACTTATGGGACACTTTAACCTTGAGCAGCCTGAAACTTCACTCAAGCTGGGGTCTTCTGGGTTCTTTCTGATCCCATACCACCCACACAGAGAAGGGCAAAGTGTGGCCCCATATGGGAAGGTGTTGCCTAGGGAGCTGGGTGTGGGTTCTCTTAGGTTGATTAGCGCTCTCCGCAGTCTAGCCTGCTCGGCTCTACCCTCCACCTCCTCCCTAGAATAGGGAGGGGGACTGCCCCCAGAGTACCTCCAGAGGGGCGGCAGCGCTCCTGAGTGACCGTGAGCCCCAGCCCAAAACTCTGGGCACCCTGGGGGGACGGGAAGGGAAGTACCAGAAGAAGTTGGGAGAAGCTCACCCACAAGACCCTCTTCACTCCCAGGATCATCAGGCCCAGGGCTTACCTTTGACCCCTAAACCCCAGTCTGGCTCAAGTTTAGCAGAGGCCCTCATTCTAGAACCCTCCCCCAGATTCAGCGCTACCTTCTTGGAGTTTGGATTTAAAGAAGAACAAATGTCAAATTCTCTCCATCCAAAACCTCCCACTCCTGGGCTTTCTGTGTAACCTCCGGCCAAGCCCTGCCCTCTCTGGGCTCCCGTTCCCCTGAGGGGAATAGGTGTGGTGAAGGGAAGCATACCTTCCTTTAAGGGGTCTTACCTTATTTCCTTGGGGGCTCAGACAAGCTGAAGAAAGTTCCCCTCCTTTTCTTGGAATCCTCCCAGACCCTCCCCTCAGGCCCCAATGGGGGTCAGAAGCCTTGGATGAAGTCGGTACTCCATTTATTGGAGAAGAGCCCAGTGCCCACCCCCTCCGGTCCTGGGGGCCTCAGCATCTCCTCTGTCATAAGTGCCAGGCCTGGGAGCAGAGTCTCCGTGCGCCACGTCTGGTGGTTGACTGAGAGAAGAGCCCAGCTGGGCCTGAGGGGGCAGGAAGCCCTCTGTCCATCTGGGCAGCCTGCATGGGGCACTGGTGCAGCCCGGGCCCGGTGTCCAATGCCTGCCCCTTCCCCTCGCGCATGGAGTGGCGTGCCGTGCCCCATCACACGCTGGTTCTGCAGGTCTGCACCCCTGTGAGGCTGCCCCGGTGGGGCGTGGGTTCTGTCGGGCCCTTGTTCCCAGCATGGGTGACCCAGCGATAACAGTCTGTAATGCGCTTGTTGGGTGCGTGGGGGCCACAGCGGGTGCAGTACACAATTCCCAGTGCCAGCAGGACCACCAGGAAGACACATGTAGGCACTAGAAGTGCCACCAGCAGCCACCGGTCATCCCTCCGGCTTCGGCCCGCAGGACTGGCCTCCCCCAGGGCTGTGGGGGCTGCTGTGGGGGCTGCTGAGGGCAGCCACGGGGTCAGCTCGGAATTAGAGGCATCTTCTCTCGGGACCTCTGGGGCTTTAGAATGGGTGCGTGTAGGGCTGGTGGGAGTGGTCTGGTTCGTGGGGCTCTGAGGGGGCAGGGAAGTGTGGAGGACGGGGGGCTGGGTGGCAGCAGGCACGGGGACCCGACGGGCGATGGGCAGAGGGGACCTGGATGCAGTTGTCAGAGACGGCGGGGCAGGTGAGCTTATGGGAAGGCGAGTGGCCTGGGGTTTGAGGACTGGGACACCTGGGGTCCCCGGGGGATGATGAGTCCTGGAGGTGGTGACAAGGAGGCCGTGGTTAGCTGGGATGCGGGGCACATGAGCAGTGTTCTGAGTACCAGCCACTTGGGTGTCTGGAGACAGGGGGGGCTGGTGGGCGGTGGACTGTTCAGGGTGCCTGGCTGAGATAACCGGGGGCGGGTGGCCAGCGGGCCGCGCCGGGTGCGTGGCAGGGATCACGGGAGGCTGGTGGGCAGAAGGCAGGTCTGGATAGCCGGCTGAGATCATGGGGAACTGGTGGACAGGGGGCAAAGGTGGGTACATGTCAGGGATCCTGGTGGGCTGCGGGGCAGGGGCCAAGGGTGGGTGTATGGCAGAAATGATGGGGGGCTGGTGGGCAGAAGGCAGTGTGGGGCGTGTGGCGGAGACCACCACGGGCCGGGTGACAGAGAGCACTGAGGAGTGATAGGGGGCCCTGGAGGCACTGAGCGGGGGCGGCCAGGTAGGGTCCAGGTAGGGCACCTGTGGCTCTCCGTCCTCTGGGAAGCTAGGTCTATAAGCCAGGCCAAAGTCAGGTGGATACGTGGGCTCCATCCACGGGATCCCAGGTGGCTCCGTCCAGCCACCACCGAAGCGCTCCCAGGGCTCACCTTGGTCCATCTCATCCTGGCCGTCATCCAGCAGCTCGTCCTCCAGGCCCTGGGCAGCCCGAGCCCCGACGTCCCTCACGGGGCTGCAGCTGATGCCGTCGGCCTGCAGCTCGTGGCCCTCGCTGCAGTAGCACTCAAAACCGCCGACGTAGTTGACGCACATCTGCTGGCACACGGGGATGTCCTGGCACTCGTCCGTGTCCACGCAGCGGTGGGGCTCGTCGTCGGCCGGCTGGAACCCCAGGTGACAGTGGCAGATATAGCCCTGTGGCCCACCCGGCTCGCAGTGCTGCTCACACAGGGCATGCGCACAGGGGTCTTCACAGCTGTGCCCGTCCGCGGCCAGCTGGAAGCCTTCAGTGCAACGGCAGGACACACGGCCATCCACCTCCTCCACACACTCGTGTTCGCAGCCCCCGTTATCTGGGTCACAGCCGGTCCCGGTGGGGCACAAGGGCCCAGCCCGGGACCAGCGCACCCCACCCTCGGGCTGCTTCACGCACAGCAGAGAAGCTTCTCCGCCGGCCTGGCACGGCACGGTGGCCACGGAGCCGAAGGGCAGCCACTCGAACTCGGTGGAGACCAGGTGGAAGGGCGTGGTGTAGACGGTGGGGCCCTCCTGGCCAGCCTCTTCTGGCAACGCTGGGCAAGAGCCCTCAAAGCCAAACTGACACAGGTAGCCATCGACAGCCAGCGTGCACGAACCCTCGAGCCAGCGATGCTCGCCGTTTGCCTTAAGGGCTGCACAGCGCTGGGCAGGGCAGGACCCGTTCGTGGGAGGGTTGGCCCAGTTGGTGAAGTCTGTGTCCTGGTCCCCGGTGATCCACGTGAAGCCGCGCAGCGGGCGCTGCGGCTGGCACTGCCGGGCCTGCCGCTGCAGCCCGATCCACAGCAGCTGGCCGGCCGGGCCGGCACCCACTAGGCTGTCCACGCGCTGGGCTTCCTCAGGGGTTCGAGGCGTGGCGAGGTCGCCCCCCAACTCTCGGCAGGCCCGCCAGGCTTCCAGGAAGGTGCAGCGCCGTGGGAAGAGTGCGTAGCAGCTGTCCTGGCCGCAGGCGGCGCGGGGCTCGGGGGCCCAGGGGGCCTGGCCCAGCGTGGGCACCGTGGCCGCCCAGGCCAGCAGCAGGCGCAGCAGCATTGCGACGCCCCCCGACTGGCCCGGGCTGGGTCTGCAGCCGCTCTTGACAGGGGGAGGGACTGCGGCCTCCGGTGGGCGGGCCAGGGGGCGGGCCCCGCCGGACTCGGCCCTTGTAAGGAGTGGGCTGGGGCTGCTGCCAGCTCCCGCTGCCGCTCCCCGGGGGCTGCCAGAGCAGGAAGCAGTTGGGCGGGCGGCGGGGGTAGGGGGTGGTGGGGGTGCGGCTAGAGGAGGGAGGAGGCGCACCAAGGGTCTGGGAGTCACTGGCAGGGGGACCTGCCTCCCGGAAGAGGCTGGATGACCCTCAGAGCACTGCAGTGCAGTCTCGGGCTCTTAGCAGGGGGGTGAGGTCACTTCGCAGAGACTGACAGTGACCCTAATCTGGACACACCGATCTCATCACACCCGGGAACAGCCTCACTGCCCAACAGCTTTCCATACATGTGGGAGCATGCTCTGACTCATGCCCTTCACGTCACACACGTGTGTACGGTCCTCTCCCCACACGAGAGCTCTCTCCGCCGAACCTCTGGCGCGGATCTGCACGCGTTCTGGCGCACTGCCCCCTAGGTGCGCAGGCCGAGTGGTGCGGCGCTCCACAGCCCCCGCCCAGGAGGCCCCGACACCGGTGTGCGGCCCGAACGGAGCCACCCGGACCAAAGCAGGCGTGGCGGCGTCACCTACACACTGAGCTCCCGACTCAGCCTCCCCCCGACTCCAAGCCTCCTGGCTCCAGCCCGGCTGGGGGTATGGGGAAGGAGGAGGGGCAGGGGGCTGCTCTCTCCTCACCTCTGCTCAGCCTGGGGCCCTGGGAACCGGGGCTTAGAGGGGGAGGAGGCGCCCCCAAACAGGAAATGCTTCCCGGGCTCCTGCGGCAGGAGGGCAGAGTGCAGCGAGGCGGGGGCCGCGCAGGGGGTGGGCTGCGCTCAGGGTGCGCAGGGAGCTGGTGAGAGGCCATGTATGGGCATGGAGCACACAATGACACACGTGTGTGAGACACAGGCATCACGTGTGTGGAGCCCTCCCTGCCCTCAGGGCCTGCTGTGTTGGCCTGGCAGGGTCCTCTTCCCGCCCCGCTTGCAGGCCTCTGGGGGCATGTGCACTGAGCCCACGGGCCAGCGCAGTCCCCCAGGGAGCTGGTTGCCAAATTAACCCGTGCCCACCCCCCACCGCACTCTTGGCAGAAGTCTGAGCTGGGAGTGGGGACATGAAGGAGAGGTTCTGCCGTGGTCCAGCGTTCCGCTCTGCCACTGATCTGGCCGTAGGGAAGTCACGGACCCCCTTCGGGTCTCCATTTTTATCTACAAAATGGGGATAATGTGTCAGCGCCTTCCTGCTCAGCAGGGCTAGTGCATCACAGCCCTGGGTGTTTGCTAATGTGCTCTGTCAGCTGCGAAGCATGAGGCGAGTGTTCCTCAGTGTTCTGAGCAAATCTGGGTGGGGGCTGAGTCCAGGACCGCTGTGCTAACCCCCTCGCTGCGCCAGGGCTGGCCCCGCAGACCCAGCCAGGCCCCTGGAGAACCAGCGCTTTCGAAGTGTTCGCGCCATGCCCGGAAGGTGGTCCTGTCAAGGTCTACAACCTCGAAGCACATAGAACATCTCTCCCCCTTCCCGAGAGAAGAGAGCCAGGACGGGCAGGCCAGCCTCCCGCTGGCGCGGGCCCAGCGCCTTGAGATCATCCTTGACTCCTGTTTCTCCCACGCCCTTGTCCCATCTCAGCGGATCCTGTCTCTGCTTCACCTTCAAAACAAACCCAGGGTTGGACTGGTCCTCGCCGCCTGCTTTGCCACCCCCCCTCCGCCGGCCCCCGCCTCTGCCTAATTTCTCATCCAGACCGTTGCGGCCACCTCTCCTCTGGTCTCTCTCTCGCCCCCTCCATCCTGTCGGAGGGGTCCTTGCGGAACCCGCGTCGGCCCGGTCAGATCCAGCAACTCCTTCTCAGGGCCCTCGGGGTCCCCACCTCACCCGGAGGAAAGGCCAAAGTCCCCATCACATCCTCTGGGCCTAGGTGATCGGCCCCCAGACCTCTCCTCTCAATCCCTCCCCCTCGGCCCCTCTCCTCCCGCTGCTCTGGCCTCCTTCCTGGCTGTCGCCGAAACTCGCCAGGTTCATTTCTACCTGAGCGCCTCTGCCTGGGCTGTTCCCGGCCTGGAACGCTCCCCCTGCGGGATCTGGACGCTCTGCCCCTTCACTCCCTCGGGTCTCAGCTCCAGCGGCGGGGTCCCTGACCGGCCCGCCTCCCCTCCCCCAACGCTGGGGCCTGCCTGGTCTTGTTCCGTTCTTCTCCTCTGCATTTGCCACTATGTAAAGCAGTAAATATTTGTGTTGGCCTGCATCCCTCAGTAGCCAGGGCTTCTCGGCCGCGGCACCATTGCTATGCAGGGCTGAGTAATTATTTCGTCTATGTGCTTTGTCGGGTGTTTAGCAGCATCCCTGTCTTCTGCCTAGATGCCATGGCATCCCTCCAGTGCGACAATCAGAGATGTCTCTAGACATTGTCGACTGTCATGTCTCCTGGGGGTGACGCTGCCCCCACAGAGAACTCCAGCTCTAGGCGCCTGAGCTCCCTGAGGGCAGGGTCGCTGTCTTGTCCCCTGCTATATCCTGGGAGCCTGCAAAACTCTTGGTGTGTAGATGCTGCTAATAGGGGTTTGTCGAATGAATGAATGAGTGAATGAATGGAATTCAGCTAAGTGAGGAACCTGGCTCCGCAAGCCTTCTGCAGACGGGGAAACTGAGGCCCAGGGAATCTCAGAGTGAGTCTGCGGCGGGGCCGGGGCGCAGGCCTCCTGACTCTTACTCTAGTTCTCCCGTTGCCGCAGGGCCCCGAGGGGTCCTTTGAGCACAGTCCGCAAGTTGGGAGTGACACCGGGGAATGGGGATGGGAGGAAGGTGTGACAGGAAGGAGGCGCAGGCTAGACAAAGGGACTGGGGTGGAAGGGCTCAAGGTGTGTTTGGAGAACACTAGGTCTCCACGGGGCTGGAGTGAGGGACACCTAGAGGGCCAGCAAGGGGTGAGAGGCGGCTACAAGGCTGGCCTCTGCTGTGGGGGGGCAAGGGCAAGGGGAAGGGGGGATCCCTGTGGCGGGTGCGGTGAGCGGAGAGGGGACCGGAGGCCAAGGACCAGCTAGAAGGTTGTTGCAATCGTCTGGGAGAAGGGAGGGAGCTGGCCGGAGAGCTGGGCAGCAGGGCGGGCCAGGCCGGGGGAGGCAGCCTCTGGAGGCTCCTTAGGGGCTGGCCAGGGCCCGGTCCAAGGGTGTGGCGGGGCCAGTCATGGTTCGGGCAGTGGCCAGAGCTGGGGCGTCTGAGGGGAGGCTGCACGCCGTCTGGCTAGTGGGTGGGTCAGCCCAGAGGTCAGGATTCCAGCCTCTGTTGGTCGGGTGAGGGGTTGGGGGGCAGGCAAGGGACGCAGGAGTAGGAGGGTCAAAGGCCAAGTTCCAGATGGTCTGGCTGGGCCTACTTGCCAGTGGAGGGAAGCGTGAGCCAAGAGGTGGGAGCAGGGGTGAGGCTGAGTGGGCTGCACCTAACTCCAACAGGACTAAGTGTTTGGGAGATGGAGAATGAGACTTGGAGACCTGTCTGGGGGCCCAGTGCCGGCCGGCGCCTGGCACTCACCTGCCCCATCCAGGCTGGGGGAGATGAGGCTGAGGCGGCCCAGGAACTTTCTGCCCTGGTCCTGATGGAGGGCGGGTCGCAGCGTCGGGGATCCGGTGGGGACGGGGTAGACAGGGGCTGGCCGAGGTCTTGCTCATCCTGTTGGCCCCGTTTAGCCTGACTCATTTCAGTCCCCCCATTGCACAGAGAAGATGCCAATGGGTGCAATAAACGCTCAGAGGATGGGTCGGTGGACATATGGATGGATGGATGGGTGGACAGATGGAAGCAAGGAGGTGTGGATGGATGGAAGGGGGGTTAAGTAAGCGAGCAGTGGGTGGATGAATGGGTGGATGGATGGGTGCACAGATGGATGGGCGCACAGATGGATGGACGGAAAGGCAGGTAGGCAAGAGTGGGGATGGGCAATGGATGAATGGGCGGTAGAGAGATGGACTGATGGATGGACGTAGGGATGAGTAAGTGGCCGGCGGACGGATGCAAGTGGACGGGTGAGTGGACGGAAGACGTTCAGACGCGGGGTTGGATGCAGGGGTTCGGGCAGAAGCGCTAATTCGTAACTGGCCGCCCCTCCGTGGACAGCGGTCTCGGAATGCAACTCCGTGGACCTGGAGGCGTGAAGCCCAGGTGGGCGGGAGAGCTCGGCCACCAGGGCAGGGGCCCTATGTGATGCTCACCACACGGTCTGATTTCTCTGTTGGGTCCCGTGGCCAACGTGTCTCCCCGGCCGGGGTGGGGACAGCCCGGGATGCCAGGCTTAGCTTTCACAGGGGTCCACAGGCTGGGGTTCCCTGCTCCGGTCTCGGCCCTTACAGGGAGAGCTCACCGCAGGGGGCGCATGAACACGGAAGCCCCCTTCCCCAGACGGAGCCTGGTCTTCCAGCCACTGGGACAAGCCAGACGGTGGTTTCGGATGCAGTGGGTGGGCCCGTGGGGGTGGCGGTGCAGGCAGCCTGCAGAGGGGCCGGCCCGACGAGGGCCCAGTGGAACAGCCAGGACGGGGGTGCCGAGTGCGATCAGGGGGCGCCCCCCGGGCAGGCACCCTAGGGAGCTTTGGCACGCCCCACTGCTGAGCCAGCACATTGCTTTGTGCGCAAGTCACCTCCTCTCCTCCTTTTTCTTGTATCCCCACCCCCACCCCCGACCTCTGTCCATTTCTAAATTCTTCCCAAACCACCCCAGCCTCGGGCTGTCAGGAGGAAAGGCCTACCAGTGGAGGGGGGCGGGGGAGGCCCCCGTTGGGCGGGAGCAGCAGGAGAGGAGGTGGGCGCGGTCCCAGGGCCGGAGTGGGGAGGGGTGGGAGTCTGGGAGGGGAGAAATTCTGGCCTCCTCCCCGTTCCCGCGTGCTGGGGCCACACCCTGTGTGCTTCTGGAGGGGAGAGCCCCGCGGGAAGGTGGG